CCTTTACCTTTTCTCTTGGTAGGGATGTGGGGAAAGGGGTGTCAAATTGAGATTTCTCCTAAATTTGCCTTACTCATGTGAACAATAAAGGAAGCTTCAGGTATGTGCGTAGATTAAATTAAATTAAGGCATTCAAACTTTCATGGATAATCTACTTCAGTTGCATGGAGTGTAATTCTGGGAAAGGAATATTAGATACCACTGCAGTTGTTCAGAGGGAGGGAAAGGAATGGGGAAAGGAGAAGTGAGAGTGCCAACTACCTACAGCAGCGTTTCTCAACTTTAGCAACTCTACAATGTGTGGACTTCAACTCCCAGAATTCCCCAGCCAGTGTACTGGGAATTGGTCCACCCATGCTGGCTGGGGAATTCTGGGAGTCAAAGTCCATATATCTTAGAGTTGCCAAGATTGAGAAACACTGACCTATAGTTTGTACAACCATAAACAGAACCATGGTTGCAGTGAAGAGCTAGTTAAGATATATAATCTAATAAGAAACCTTGGCCTTGGAAACCATGAGAAGTTATGTAATATTTTTCAGCAAAGTCTGTTTCACGCCAACATGGTTCTCTGCAATTCATTTTCTTAAAGCCTGTCAGCCTGAGCTAAGCAAGGATTGAAGGGTCCTTCTACTGGGTTATGAATGGGGCCAGTTCTGACATCAGATCTGTGCCTAGATAGTGCATCTTAGAAATCTTAAGTAATGTATGTACCTGAATCTGACCTTGATTGGAAAAATTTATCAATCAAGTTGAAATTAAGCGAATTTCTCAGGATTACCACCACTGCTTCCTCTTCCTCCTCCTCATCAGTGTTTCAGTCTAAAAGGCGGCTGTTCATGTCCAGATTTCAACTTCCTTTCTTGAAAAAGGAGAAAAGGCTATTTGCAGGTTGGCCAAGTGGTAGAGAGATCAGCCTGCCCAAAACCAATTGGTCATGGCTTTCCCTTCTCTTAGCACATTCCTGCTGCAACCTGGGCAGGAAGAATTCTTGGAGTATCATGCCATGCTCTGCAGAAAGACATCCTCAGGAGAGCAGATGTGGCTCTCTGCTCCAGCCTGCCTTCCCCGTTCCCTCTCTCAAGAGGAAGTGATAGGGCATGAAGCCAGAAAGGCCCTTCCTTGGAAGCCTGATGTGTTTCAAGGCATCTTTGATAGCAGATCCGGAATATGAGAACGTGTGTCTTCCAAATCAGGTGGTAGCTAACTTCTGCTACTGTTATTGGCCCATTAGGAATTATGGAAAGCATCATCAACAGGAGCTTGATTTTTGTTACCCTGCAATTCAGGGAAACATTTTACAGCAGCAGGAAAAGCTACAGCTTCTTGGATGACATGTTCTTTTTATTAAAGAATGCGTAATGTTCATTAACTCTTTACGGTATTAGTGCTGTGATGAAGTATTTGGGGATGACAGGAGCAAACCACTATCAATTTAGGTACTGCAGCCACATCTGGCAGAGCTTCCTTTCAGTTTCAGTTTTTTGGAATCTCTTCTTGTCTTCACAGTGTATACAGTATTGTCTGTGACAAGACCACGTACCCTAGATTGGAATTTTTGCTCCTAGTTGGCTGTTGCTTGTCCGCATTCTGCTGTATTTTAAGCAATCCAGTACAACTCAGAAAGGAGAATTGGTGGCTTAATCAACTATTGGAGCTTCATCAGAAATGTATTTATGGTGGATAAAAGGGTTTCAGTTGAGACACTCCCAGACTTAGCCAGCACCTGAAACACAGGCATTTTTCTCATTCTCTCCAGTTTACAGTATGAAAAAAAGAAAAGAAACTAAGGCCTAGGATACACTTATTTTGGGTGAGAATCTTCTTGAAGTTATGGTTATTACTTATGACTTTACCATGTTCTGTAATATAAAAAAAGAAAAGAGGCTAGTGGCCACTGGCGTCTCTTGGTTTCTTAGCCCTTGAGAATGGACAGTTGCACCAGCAGTGGCTTGCACAGTCACACTATGCTCGGCTTGCACCATGCCCTTACCCGAAATGGGCTTGCACAAGGCAGGTGAGGGTGTGGAAGGGCTGGCTCCAGTGGGCTGCAGTGCAGCATGGCAAGAGGTGGTGAATCGGGGGCTGCCGAATGGCCCAGAGACAGGCTGTTAGAAGGCTGCTGGAGGTGGGGAGAACTCCGGGGGTATTTGGAAGGAAGTGGAGGACTCTTGACATATGTAAGGATGAAACAAACAACGCTTCCAGAAGAGGAGCAACGGCTGAACTATACAGAGTAAGCGTGGCAGAGCTTTCAACTGGTGGCCATGCCGGAAGGAGGGAAGGCAACGTGATGTTGAGGGAAGCTGACCGGTTTGTTCGACCAGCAGAGGTTGGAGCCAATGAGAGAGCCACCGGATGCAGCTGGGGCCAGCGGAGAGATGCTATGCCAAGCGGGGAAGTGCGACGATGGAGTGCCAGTTGCTGATCCTGTGCAGCAGTAATTTCCAGAGGGGGAGAAGGTCTGGAAGCCCCCCGAGAGTTGCAGCAGCCACTGAGTCAGCCCAGCCAGCCACAGCCTGCTGGTCCCTAGGAGGCAGGGAGGGTAGAAGGACGGAGGCAGAGAGGTCCTATTCTGGTCCTTCTAAGTTTAGTCCTGGCCCCTGGTGGTGAGATTAACCTTCAAGGGAGGTTGGGTAAGAGCAGGGGAAAGCCAGTCAGTGCATCCAGTGGCAAGGAGTTCCACGTGAGCAGCAAGGTAGCCATTTGTTTCTGCAGGGCAGGAAGGTAAAAGACAGGAAGAGGGAATTGGGTCTGCTGTGGGCAGGAGAACAACCGTCTCTAACAGGTGGGCAGAGCAGCTTCAGTTTCTCACAGGGAAGTTCTGGGAAAGCAGCCGAGGCAGCATCGCCCGGCTTGAGCGATTGCCAAGGGCCAGCTTGGAGCCGTGCCCAGAAGCTGAAAGCGAAAGCCAGGAAGAGGCCTCGCTAGAAGCGGAGGGGTTGGGGTGAGCAGAGGCAGCCCTCTTCTCTGTCACGTGTCGTTATGCAGTCCAAAAGTGGAAAAAAAGCGAAATCACCGGAAGAGACTCTGTGTCCTTGAGGCTGAACATCCACCCAGAGCTTTGAATTCTATAGACTCGCTCTACCTTGAGCTGGTTTGACGAGTCATACGGGTCAGCTAAAATAAAATCCTTTTCGTGGCAACATCCAACATAGCACGCAGCTCGGAAATCCCCTGGTTTTAGAATGATGCACCACAAAAAAAAAAAAAGGCCTAGAGCGTATTCTGTAAAGCGAATGATTAAATTTACCAGCTAGTGGACCCATATTGCTCATCAGCCATACCTACAGAATTTTCTCCCCCAAAGCAGTTTTTGCTATATTTCGTTCTTGGAACAAAGTCCTACTTGCATTGCATGTCGTGTGCATGTTTTCTTTTGCTCCCCCCCCACCACATGTTCCTAGTTAAGTGAGGATTGCCTTGTAATATCTAGTTGCTATCTAGTGGGGAAGGTCTCTCTGTTCTCAGCGTCCTCCCGTTCCACTTACTTCCTACCCCTTTTACTGTATTTCAGCCTTGGCAGCCTGGCACCTGCAGTGTAAAATATAACTCTGATATATTGGGGTTGAAATTGAATTGTTTAATTATTGGTTTATTTATGGATAATAGTTTTTTATTTTTTTAAAAAGGAATTTTTAAGGTCTTTTTTACCTGTACTGCTTAGTAAAGGTATGGATGAATCGAAAACAGGGTATGTTTCAAACTCGAAACCAACCGTTACGTTTGAAAGTTCTGCCAACCACTGTTTGGCAGAAAGAAAGCCTAGAATGTTCTCATTATTCCAGGTTTTGGAGAAAAGAAAATCTGGAGAAATTCCAGAGGTGATTTTATGGGGTGAGGAGGGTGAGGATGATGCACATTGCCCCCCCCAACTCCCCAATGTAGACATCCCCCCAAACACTCTCACCTCCCC